ATAAAAGAAAGGTGATTCTCAGCCGTGACATAGTGTTTGATGAGGAGTGTATGTTATGTGGGGTGAGGTGTTCATCTACTCCAAGTGTTCAAGAGGAGAGTGTGTCCGAACAGGTGGAGTACGAGTTAAATGGTCCCGATGAAGGCGAGAATACTGTTGAACAATGCAGTAACTCGCCTTAAACAGAACTTGTTGTACATTAAAATCGGCACCAACTTGCAGATATTCGCTCTATAGCATTAGGTAAGCTTCGAAGACAAGTTGGTAGACCAGTTCGATATGGTTTCGATGACATGGTGGCCTATGCTCTGCAAGTTGCTGAAGAAATGGAGTTCTTTGAGCCATCTATTAACAAAGAAGCAATCACAACGAAGGAGGTTGATCTATGGATAACAGCCATGAGTGAAGGGAATCCTTTCACAAGTAAGTGGATCTTTAAGCGAAAAACGGGGCTGCCGGGAGCTGAAAGTGTGAGATACAAGGCTCGTTTGGCGGCTAGAGGTTATAGCCAAGAGCAAGGGGTTGATTATAATGAAATTCTCGCCGGTGGTGCGTCATACATCCATTCAGGTGTTGTTGGCATTAATAGCACAACCAAATTTGGAGTTGGAACAATTGGACGTCAAAACGGCTTTCTTACATGGTGAGCTTGAAGAGGAAATCTATACGAGTCAACCGGAGGGTTTTGTAGCTCAAGGTAAAGAAAACTATGTTTGTAAGCTCAATAAATCTCTTTATAGGTTAAAGCAATCTCCGAGACAGTGGTATAAACGTTTTGACAACTTTACGATGAGTCATGATTTTACTAGAAGCCCTGATGATAGTTGTATATATCATAAGAAAGGTGTTGATGGGTCATATGTGTATATGCTACTTTATTTGGACGATATGTTAGTAGCGGCTCGTGATATGACTGAAATTAAGAAGTTAAAAAGACTCCTTAATTCTAAGTTTGACATGAAAGATTTAGGGGTTGCTCGATAGATTCTCAATATGGAGATTATCCGAGATAGATCTAGACGTAAAATTTTATTGTCACAGAAAAGTTACATTTTGAAGATACTTTCTCGATTTGGTATGGCTTCTGCAAAGTCTATGAGCACACATTCATTGGCAAATTTCATATTATCAGTGGCTTTGGCACCTCAAACCGAGGCTGAGGTGGAGTATATGAGCAAAGTTCCTTATTCTAATGATGTAGGAAGTCTTATGTATGTCATGGTCTGCACTAGACCTGACATGGCTCATGCTGTTAGTGTTGTTTCAGGTTACATGGCTAATCCGGGGAAAGAACATTGGGTTGCCGTGAAACGTATTTTTCGTTATCTAAAAGGCACAGCTGATGTAGGTCTCATATTTATGGACGAGAAAGAGATTCTATTGTGGCTGGATTTTCAGATTCTGATTAAGCAGTTGACCTTGACACACGGTGATCATTAACGGGATACGTGTTCACTGTTGGAGATGCCTTAGTGAGCTGAAAAGCAACGTTACAGCCGTTTGTTCCTTTGTCTACAACAGAGGCTAAATACATGGCTCTTATGAAGGCTGCAAAAGAAGGGATTTGGCTTAAAGGTTTGCTTGGAGATCTTGGGTTTCATCAAGATCAGATTGTAGTTTTTTGTGACAGCCTGAGTGCTCTTTGTCTTGCAAAAGACCAGGTGCATCATGAGAGAACGAAACATATAGATGTTCGTTATCATTTTATACGTTCGAAAAGTGAAGACTGATGACAATACAGCTGATGCACTGACGAAACCAGTTTCTTTGAATAAGTTTAGGCATTGTCTAGATCTCTTAAACATTGATAGCTGGAAGTAAAATTTTTGTACTAGAATTAAAGCCAAGGTGGAGATTTGTTAGATGTAGCTTTAATTGAAATAGTTAGTTTTATTTTTTTCTATTTTGCGTATCTTGACTGTTACCTATAAATAGTTGGGTTATCCTCATTTGCAAAGCTAGTCTTAATTTCGTAAATAAGATTCCTTCAATTCTCTCTACATAGCTTTCTCTAATTTCTCAACAATACGGTGGATGAATATATCTCGATTAGGAATTCTTTCCCAAGTCGATTAGGGAATCTATGAAAATCGATGGCGTAAATGGGAATCAGGACTGATCCAGCCCACAAGTGGCAATAGTCGAGGACGTCATTGGCCTAATGGACTCAATATACCAAATTGGTTGTAAGCGTGTGTTCCTAACTCGCTTCTCACCGCTTTGTTATTCCGGTCATTAATTGATCGAAGGTCGATGGAATATTCAAAATTGGCGATAGATCGACATCAAACGCCAGGTACACACTATCCAAACTATTGTTCCATTCTTCGATTGTGTATGGAAAGATAGAAATAAAATGACCACAATTTTAGATATTCACTTAATCTTGTTATGTATAGGTGCTATTTCACAAACTTTTTGTCACACCAGAGGTCTCATAACAATATTTATAGAGCGAAAAAAACAAGATTCTTTTTCCCTTCGTTTATTTGATCAAATAAAAAAGCAACTTTGAGATTGTTGAATCACAGATAAAAAAATATAATAAATAAAGCAACGGAGTCATCATAGCATTTTTGAATTCCTCTGAAAGGAAGGGTGATAAGTTGATCATTTACTTATCGGGGTCTAAATTGGAAGGAGAAATCACCAATGATTGTTGATGTAAAAACTTTAGTAGATTTGAAAGTGAAGGGAGAACCATGAAACAAGAAGGAAATGGAGTGTTGGGGAAGTTTGGCTTTATGACTATGTGGGAGCAGGAGGGAGAGGAAATAGTGTTCCTTTTGCCTAAGGAGCCGCCTCCGGACAGGGTTAAAGATCATGTCATTGCCTAAACAGCCCACTCAAAATAGCCCAAAAACAAAAAAATGATCACGAAAGAAATAACGCTATGATCTGAAATAGCGGTTCCAAGCCGCTATTTGCAGACCGCTAACTATTTCCCAAATGATCGCTAAGGTAGTGTTTGGTACGTCTGTACTTTGACCACTAACCACATGGTCGTGGCTAAGCTTGTTGCTATGGGTTATAAAGCAAATGTTGGACGATCCTTCAGTACGCAAATGATCATCTATAATCCATTTGACGGATTAAAGTCAATGCTCAATCAACCATAACCACCACGACCACAAACAGTAGCCTTTGGAATCGACATTTTCATTTTCTTCCACCTTGAGGACAAGGTGAAAGTTCGGGGGCGGGTATTGTCATACCCAGTTAAATTGTTAAATAGTCAAATAGGCAATAGTAGTGGTAGGCTGTGTCAAAGGGTCAAGATTAATAGGTTTGTGGTAGGAAAGTACAAGCAATTAGTGCTCTGGTACAAGAGGACAATGCTTGGGTAGTAAGTCGGTGGTATTAAGCATAAATAAGGGGTGTGAGAGTGAGGGGGATTCATTCTGATTTGTGTGTTTAGTTCAGGCGAGAGCCTTGGGAGAATACTGTCTCGAAAGCCAGCAATTCTGTAACCATTGTCTATATCTTCTATCAAACCATTCGATTTCTTTAACCTAATTTTCCTAGTGTGTATTATGGATGCTTACTATCACATCGATAGTGAAACCACGTTAAATACTCGTGTTACATGGTTGTGAACATGTGTATATGCTTGGATGTTGCATATCTAGTTGATATTTACATTGTGGTTAGTATCTCTTCACTTGAGCTAGTTTGCATCATCTGGATCATTTGTTGTTGGGTTGTTTCTACTAGCTTTGGGACCATAGAAATCATTTGTGTAGTTACATATTCGGCATATCCACCTTGCAATCTAAGGTAAATTTTAACACTGCAAGAGGCCACATTGACATTCACCACGTGCAGCAGTTTGAGATGGTGAATGGTTGTGTTGAGTTTATGTCAGATTAACCAAAGCAATGGATGAAGATTTTATCTTAGGCCGAGTATTGGTTTAACACTACCAATAGCTTGATCAAGTGTTCTCCCTTTAAGGCATTATATGGACCAGATACCCCATCCTTTGTTACATTTATGGAGTAATCTACGATGGTACGAGTGGTGGAACAATTTTTACGTGAAATGGATGATATTATGGATGATTTGAGGATTATCTGCTAAAAGCTCAACAAGATGAAACTTTATACGGATCAACATCGAAAGAAGGTACACTTTGAGGTCGGGGATATGGTTTACCTCAAACTAAGACCTCTCGGGCATAATCATAAGTTGGCGGCTCATTTTTATGGTCCTTATAAGGTGTTGGCAAGGATGGGGCAAGTGGCATACAGGTTTGAGCTACCCCCGTAGGCAAAGATTCACTCGGTTTCTCATGTATCTCAACTACAACAGGCTATAGGGAATTGTTCTTCTTCAACCAATCTGCCACCTCAACTAAGTGCCAATTTGGAGATGGTGATGATGGAACCTGAGGAGGTGTTGCAATCGGCCTTTCAAAAAATAGAGGGTGTGTTGGAAGTGTTGAGCAAGTGGAAAGGGTTGCCTTTGTTTGAAGCTACATCTTTTGAACTTGAGGACAAGGTGAATCTGTGGCAGGTGAGTATTGATGAGTCTAGTATTTTCCAAACATTGGAAATGTGTTGTATAAGTCAAGATGCGTAGGGATGTTTTTGTAATTTTCCTCATAAGTAGCGGAGTAGGTTATGTTGGGTACAAATACGTGGGGAGGGGAAGCTGGTAGGGACATGAGAATTGTTCTAAAAACACACCTGTGAGGTCTTTGAGGGCAAGACCAGCCTCTCAAATGCTGGGGTTGAGTTTGGAGTGGTTGTAGTGTCCATTGTCGTTCAATCAAGCATTCAATTTCAGTTCTTGACTTTAATCATGTCCTTTATCATCAAATTGTGCTCGGTCTTCATATATCACATGGATTACCTATTGACACCTTTGGGTTCAAATTCAAATTTGTGTAGGTGGTTCGTGTAAGGATTATATATAAGCATCGTATAAGATCAACAATTAAAAAACCGCTATGAACATAAAGTGAGACAATTGTAGGGATGTTTTGAGAAAATGCATACCTGCATTTTGTTTCCTACTAGCAAATGACACGATTCCAAAAACAGAATTACTGAAGTCATCGGCGGGACGTCTCCTGCTATCTTGCGGGCCGGCAGATGAGATCCTTGGTGTTTCAGTGGGAAAAGGAAGAGGCATCCTCGGCTCACTCTGGTACTTCTTAAGATATGATGCACCATCAAGCTTGGTTTTGACGCCAGCAGGTTTGTCTTTAGGTGCAGGCAACTTGGCAAACAATTCTAGAATATCTTCATGTGCCTGATGGTTTGCCAAATCCCGTGGAGTCCACCCATGCACATCAGGCGTGTCAATGCTGGCTCCATTATTGATTAGAAACTCGACTATATCTGTTTTCTCTTCAGAAATGGCCTTGTGCAGTGCTGTAGTTCCCATACTGTTCCGGAGTGTAATATCCCCACCATGTTTGATTATATCTTTAAGCAAATCTATGCTGTTTTGTTCAACTGCATAAGAAGCAAACTCACCCACATCCCCTGATGTTAACTTTGCACCATTGTCTACAAGCAATTTAATTACAGATTCATTTCGCCCCACAATTGCACTCCACAGGGGAACATTTCCTTCGGAGTCTGCAACACCACAATACTAATAACTATGATTGCATGGTTGTATAATGTAAGTTGAAGATCATTGAAACATATGTTGGTGTTACAAGATGTTATGTGTGATATCCATGTCCCATGAGAATTGCAACATTTGACCGGACACATAATTTGAGAGAAGGTCTATCAACCAAATATCTTCAACTTCCTTCAACGATGACAAAATAAGTGAATCTTAAGGACTCATCAATAATATTTCAACAAGTTATTTAGATTAGAAAAATAAAATTACCAAAAGGTAAAGTAGCAAAAAGGGCAGGTTGCATCAGATTGAATAATGAGCCAAATGAGATCAAGGCCCAAACTGATCGAGTTAGGTTGGGTCCAAACACCTTCTTTTCTACTTCCTTTTTCCCATCCATATTTATCTTGTATCGCAAGAAAAAAAAGGGTTTTTGACACAAAACAAGTATAAAAAATGAAACAAATATTAATAGAAGGATAATAGGTTTGGTCGTAGATTCGCACCCAAACTATCAACCTTTTCAGCCCATCATTAATTTTGCTTGGCACATAGCAGCCCAAACTATGCAAATTCTGGTTCAAATAGGCTGATTTCATTTTAAGTTAGTTTGTTTTTGTCTTGGAAATGCTTCTATTTTCATGGGACATCGTTAAAGGTAAGTTTTGTAGAGTGAAGTAACGATAAGATGTGTTATAAGATACCTCTTCTATTTGCATCTGCTCCATGATCTAAGAGTAAAAGCACACATTCTAAACTTCCTTTGGCCGCTGCAAGATTCTGTAAAAATAAACAGAAAAAGATGAAAATCTATTTTCGTTTAGACAAGTGTGAGAGTCTGGAAAAAGAGAAGAAATTGCATAATACCAAAACTGTGCGTCCAGCACTGTCCATCTCATTAGCGTCAAGGCCACCTCGTCTAAGCAATTTATGTAGCAACACATCATCACCTCTTGATACTGCAAAACATAAACTCAGAGGCACATCCATCCTCCCTTGAGTCAACATATTCTCTGTTTCTACAAATATTGCTTCCATTATTGGGTCTGTTTTCTCTTTCAAATGCTGCATAATATCACCAAAAACCTTAACAACTAAAAAATAATCACACTGGCATTGGTATCAAGGTTGTTCAAAATTAAATTTAACATAAATATAGCCAAATTGCATGAAAATGCAACGTCCTTGGTCTGATTCCTATTTTGTATAATGTAATTTCAGAACCTTCATTTTGGTACCTCATATGTGATGTCTCAAACATTTAGATCAAAATACATTACACAAACTAGGAATCAGACTAAAGTACGTTGCATTTTCATGCAATTCTCATATGTAAACAAGGTACCTAAATGTTTAAGATGTCATATTTGAGATACCAATATAAGATTTTGATAGTATGTTACAAAAAATAAGAATTAGACCAAAGTACATTGCATTTGCATCCAATTTGCTATAAATATAGGGGTCGGTTCATGTGACAACCACAAAAAAATTGATAATTGTGAGAACCTGTCTATTCATTGATACATATATACTAATGAATTTCAGTGAGTATATGCACCAATGCATATATACTTGCATACATAATACATATTTGATAGTATATTTGCATCAATGAATACTAGAAGAACACTCGTGCAATGCAGTGAAAAATATATCGATTTTAATGTTTTGTTTTATTCCGTCTCTGTAGATGTTTTAATACGGTGTTTATGTGGTTTTGAGAAAGGGATAATTTTGTATTTTTAAATAAGATATAATATGGAAGATATCATAAAATTTTAAAAATAAATATATCAATATTAGTATCAAACTAACTATTTAAAATTTCTTGTTTTTTGTGTAATTCCTTTAATTCAATTTTTTTATTAATATTTAATTTAGATTTAATAACGAAGTAATTTATTTTTGATTTAATAATATATTTTTTATAAGGATGATAATTAAGTATTCTGTTAGAACTCAATGATTATCCTAATTATACTTTATATTTAAAATGAAATGTTTATCCTGTATTTGATTATGTTTATCTGCAGTTAGTTACACGAATTCAAGCATGGAGCTTTAATAAGTTGTACTTATACACAATTTACTTGTAATCTTGAATTTTAAGTAATATGCATCAATAAACTGTACTTCATGTATAAAAAATGGTTTTTAAGAGTTTTTGTCAAATGCTTTATAATATTCAATGAATATACATGTTCTCATGGTTCCCAAATTTCTGCTGTGCTCACATGGACCAGAGCCTATATATATATATATATGGGAGGATTCATGTGAGAACCACACATAACTTGAGAACCAAGGAACTGATTCTAGAGTGTATACTCATTGATAAATAATACACTATATAAAACTATCAATGAGTATATTCATCAACAAATATATACTATATATTCATTGATGAATATATTCACTTGTATTTGCATTCTGTCAATGAGTAAAGGTGGTGAAGCTTTTGCCACCCGCCCACTGGCATACACCTACCAGATTAGGTTTTAAACTCTGGACCCCTACCGGCATACACTATCCTGAACAAGTTCCAACAACTTGGACAAGGCCAGCATGCATATTCTTATCTTGTCATTAAAACAAGAACCACTAAAATCATTTATAGCAGGGAAATGATACCTGAAGAAGATTGTTGATGATTATAGTGCCATCTGCAACATTTGTTTGGATAATGTTCCGAAATTGAGTGCGATTCATTCTTAGCAGCTGGCTCAATCGTTTTGTGCGAACAGTAAAAACTTGTGGCCTATAACAAAGCACACCGATTTCACCACAGACATCTCCACTCTTTAACTCTCTAACAACCTAGAAACATTCTTGCACAGAAATTCCATTATTTTAGGCCAAGCTTTTACACAAAGATAAATAAAATTAAAAATGAATTGAGATACGCAAAATATACACATGTCAATTTGTAAACTACCTGTTCAACTCCACTTCTCTTATAAATTAGTTCCTGTTTCAAAAATCCAATTCAGAAGTTATTTTTAAGTAAAAATGTTTGAATATGAATACCAAACAAGAATTGGATTAGCCTTAAAGCCTATTTACCTTATGTAAGTAGTTTTATTTATTTATTTATTTATTTTATTTTTATTTCCTCATGTATTGAATGTTTTCAAGGAAAGAAGATTACCACAGCACCAGACACCAAAATGTAGAAGTCTGTGGGAGCTTCATTTTGCAAGATCACATCTTCTTTGGGTGGAAAATACTCAGCTCTCATCTCCGAGACCTACAAGAAGATGCAATCAAAATAAGGGATTCATTATAAAAAAGGGAGTGAAAATTTAAATCATTTACTGAAGCTCAGTCCCAAAAAGAAAAACACATGAAGGGATAAAAGGCTAATAGTAGTCCGTACCAGTTGAAACAGCATATCATTTGACACTCCATTAAACAAGTAAACTTCATCAACGTAGCGATAGAAGAGGAAATTTGAAATACTTGATTGAATGGCTTTCGGGAGCAGATCAATAATTTCTTGTTGCTGCACCCATTCTGAGTCGGCTCGGTACTTCAAGCATAAGTGAGCAAGCATCTGATCTTGCAGGCGGGCAGGTAGGTGGTTCCTTTGTGCAAAGCCTGATGCGGCTTGAATCGTCTCTCTCTACAAAGATACACATATCCACACCTCAGTCTCAATATAACATACAAAAAAACAACCAATTGCCAAAAAGAGCTCCAGTCAGCTATTAAAACGTAATAACTAATCTGTGTGTAATAACAAAAGAAATATGACACAGAAAGATGTTAGTGTGGTAGTCAAGTCAAAAGGTCACAATATAGGTGGCTGTGGTTGGGGTATTCACTTCAACCAAGTCAAATATGGTAGGTTGTACTAGAAATGTACAAGTGCTTACTGCTGTGGCACAAGTAGGTAGAGCAAGGCACTAGTCAGTTACCTAGCATAAATAAGGGGGCTCCGACAGTTACCTAGCATAAATAAGGCCTCCGAGGAGAGTGGGTATGGTTCCATTTTTTGTGTGTTTTGAGTGAAAGCCTTAGGAGAGTACTTGGGCTCTAGAAAGGTGAGAAGTTCACTCGATACCTTCTGTAATCATCCGGTTCACTTGATTCTAATAGAAATTTAGCATTTGATCATCAGTGTGTATCGAAATATGACTATTTTGTCACAAACAAACTGAAGTTTGTATTTTGGAAGTCAGTAAGTGTGATAAAAAGCTACTCTCCGTCCAAAAATAAACACCTTTTAATTTACTAAATAAAAATTGTCCTTAATAATAGAGTGAGTGATGAATTTCTCCATCTCATAATTAAGAGTAGAATTGGAAGGTGTGTACTTACTTTTGAAAGTGAACACTTATTTTGGGACAAACAAAAATAGAAATATGCACACTTATTTTGGGACGAAGGGAGTACATAACACGTTTTGTGGCTCAGTTATATGTTGGAGAAAATCACTTACAAACTTCCTTGTTCGACCAGTCCTTTCAACAATTAGTGTGGTCATGTTGCCAATGAAATATGCACTCAAGCCCATATTGAACAACATGAAGAAGCTGCAAAATATCATTTCCTTCCAATTGACAGCATGGATATCACCATAGCCAGTAGTAGTCATTGTGGTGGTAGTCCAATAAATTGATTTTATATAAAGTATTGCCAGACTTTCTTTATTTGTGTCAGTAGAGGAAGCTGCCAACCATGTATTTGTTTGATCCTTGTAGCGGTGGGCAATAAGATACAATATGCAGGCAGACAAGTGAACTGTAAAGAGTGAAACCTAGAAAAAACAACAAAACCTTGATCAGGAAACTTTTGTTCAATGCACTGCATACAAAGAACACAATACATACGTAAACTTACGGAAACAAGCTTTGCACATCGAATCCAGACATAGTTGTAGTTGCGATCTTTCTCCAATCTTTTAATAATTATGCAGCGCACAAACCAAAAAATAAGAATTCAGTATTCAACATCACTCGCACTAAATTAACATATTGAGTAAAAAACCAATGTTGCTACTCTCACAACTTTTTTTTTTTTTTTTGAAGTATATAATATTTATATACGGCAAATAGAACAAATAAACTCACACACCCTCCTCACATTTGGTGAGGTTTGAACCCTTGACCTCCTAGGAGGCCAAAGACTCACATACCGCTAGGCCAAAGGCCCTTTGGTATCTCACAACAACACAACTTGTTCTCTGACCCATCAAACCATTCCTTGGCGGAAAATAAAAAAAAAAGTGATTATAATCGATACCTCCTCTAACAGATAGGCTGTTGAAGCCTTTTTACTAGTGTTTATAATAAGTTCATCTTAAAGTAATTTAGCATTGATTCTCCTAAGGTAACACGATGCATGATACTGAAATTTCTTACTTCCTTAGCCAAATTGAATAATTACGACTTCCACAAATCAAGAGGCTGGTTCTCTCTAGGGATCTGGCAGTTTTCACGTTTTCCTCACATTTCTAACTGAGTATACTGAACTTCACTTTTACTACCCTCAACTATACTCTCCCCCACCCTTTATTTTCTCCTCTTTCTCATGTAAGTAAATCTGATAGCAGGTTGATCAATACCCCTCCCTAAAAGTCTCACCTTGTGAAACTTGGGAACTGTTGTAGCACATAATGATCTCTTCCCAAGATGTTTCAAATCTGCCAAGCCTTTCCATTTAACAGATCTTCCCAACCGTCTCAGAGCTCCCTCAGTATTCTGCCAAAATCCAGGGCTTCTGGTTCTAACCTTGATTTGCTACGAGAAACTGGAAAAAGTGTTTGCAAGCCTACTCTTTCACCATTGGAAAGAAATTAGAAGCAAATGGTCATCAACGATGACTCTCTAGTAGATCGAGGCAGAAACCAGAGATTGGTGGGAGAACTAATATATCTCACACTCACAAGGCCCGATCTTACCCACAGTTGGGTGTAATAAGTTAGTTTATGCATTGTCCTACTAAAAGACATTTGGAAGCAACCAACAGAATCTTAAAGTACCTCAAAGAAACTCCAGACAAAGGAATTTCGTTTTAAAATGAAAAGGAACGAGATGTTTAAGACAATAAATCCACAATAGGCTATTGCAAAAAAGGGTGGGGAAATCTAGTCATTTTGGCGAAGCAAAAAAGCAATCTGTAAGAAGCACTGTTGTACCGGCAATTGCTCAAGGGGTTTGTGAACTCACCATTTATAGGAACCTTTAGGTGAGTTCACAAACCCCTAAAGGTCCCTATAAATGGTCCTATGAAGCTATACAGTGACAAAAAATCAGCAATCAGTATAGTTCACAATCCTGTCCAACATGGCAAATAAAGTATGTGAGAATTGATGAAGGTTTTATAAAAGATGAAACTGGTTTAAGGACAATTCTTATCTCTCATGTTCGATCAAAGCACCAAACCAGAATTCGAAGTTTTAGTTGGCAAGCTGGGAATGACTGATATCGTTCCGCAGCTTGTGAAGGAGTGCTGGAAAGTATATTAGGAATTGATTATATCTAGCTATAAATATGTGTGAATATCTTTTTAATGAGGAAATCACTGATTGATATCAAGAGTGATTTTCTCAATCTTTCCTTTTATTAGGTAGCAGCTGGTCTATAAATTGTTTGTATTCATGGTTTCAAAGAGATCGAAGAGTAATCTTTTATGTAACCTCTTTGCTCATCTCTTTAGTTATTCCAAATGCAAAAGGGATCGGTGTCGATTTTTCTATTGAAACCACAACAAAGCTTCTCCCTGAAATGCATTCACTAAAACTCCAAGGAAGTGTCCCATGGTGCATGTTATTTGCTTATGACATTGCGTTGCTAGCAGAGTCGAGGGTAGAAGTGAACTAGAGACTAGAACCATGTAGGGTGGCATTTGAAACATAAGGGTTGCATATTTGATGTTCCAAGACCAAGCACCTATGGTGCAACTTCAACAGAGAACGTACGGAAAGACGTGAAGGTAGAAGTCAACATCAGGGATCAAAGGATACCCCAGACAGACACATTCAAAATATCTAGGTTCTATGATTCAAAAGGATGGAGAGGTCGAGGATGATGTAACACAGAGGATTAGTGAAATGTGGTTAAAGTGGAGAGTTGCCACGGAAGTGTTGTGCAAGAAAATAGTACCGCCTAAGACAAAGGGAAATTCTACATGGTGGCCATCACACTAGCTATGTTGTACCGGTCAGAGTGTTGGGCAATGAGGAAGGCCATTAAAGGAAGATGGAAGATGCAAAAACGAGAATACTAAGGTGGACGTGTGGTTGGACCATATTAACAATATACTAAATGAGGCCTTTTAGGCAAAGTTGAGAATTGCGTCTATCATGAATAAACTGAGGAAGGGAAGACTTGGGTGGTCTGGACACGTACATAGGAGACAGATGACACCAGTGAGAAGAACCAAAAGTATGATAGTCAAGGGGTAAGGAGAAGAATGAGAAAAGAACAGTTGAGGAGGGACATGGTAGGCTTAGATATTTCTGAGGACATTGACCTTTTATAAAACGCCTCAGGACATTGGACTATGGTAGCTGTAAAATAGTGGGCTATGTGCCCCGTCTCATTGGACCATACATGTTGCATGGGATATAAGAGGTTCGTGTTGTGTGGCTCCGCAAGGCAGTGTAACACAAAATAGCACTTGGCCACAAAACCTACCCATCTGGGTCGATCCTATAAAAACTTGGCAATTCTACCTTACGAGTTACGAAATTTGAGTCCACCGAGATTAGATTTCGAGATTCCCTCATTGTCCCACACCTGACCGTTGGTCTAGAATTCGTTACTCCCAAAAAATTCCGTAAGGACTCTTCTTGAAAGTTAATCATTTATTCCATTTGTTTCATCAAATGTTGAACATCCTCGTTTATCAATAACATTTCTACTTGATAGCGAACTTGAAAGATTACAATGATTCCGACAATTCGAGATCACCAATTTCGTAGAAATCAAATCCCAATTTCTCACTCTTTCCTTCGAAATAGCCTCAACTATACTCTTATTACTTTATCAAAAAAAAACCATACTCTTATTACAATATTTACTATTAGGACATCCTATACTTTATTTTCTCCCCTTTCTCACATAAGGAAACCTGATAGCACGTTTATCAATACCAAAAAGGTGTCATAGAGCACCAATTTTCCTCGGTTTGAGAGGGTTGGCAAGGGACGCTAGCCTTTCCCTTTTGAACTTCCAAGAGAATTTCCCATTACTTGAACGAATGACCTTCACGTCATAAAAGAATAGTCTCTAAAAAGTACCTTCATGGCTTCATTGTACTTGCGCAATTCTTTGTGTGAGTGAACAGATAACATAAAATGCTACTAAGTTTACCAAAAGAGTAATTCTATTGATCACTCGAAGAATCTGTCTTTGGAATGTCCATGATGAAATTATGAATTTATGAGCTATGATTACAGACTCAAAACTTTCTATATGCACTACTAGAAAATTGCATGCCACAATCATGAATATAAATATGAGAAGTGAGAACATTTGCTCTATCCTGCCTCTTTTACCTTTTACACTCTCTTCTCTTGCTTTTTGCATGCTTTTTTATGCCACTAAAAATATTTCAGTCTCAAGCTCCTTACAATCTTACCAGAATTTTCTAAACCTTTGAAAAAATTCCTTTCAAGCTTTCTTTTTACCCCTATTAAAGAACTGTCTACCATTTGGGGTAGAGGTAAGGTTTGTGTTAGTCCCACCTTCCCCATACCCTACTTTTACGAGTGCTATACTCTGGGTTTATTTCGTTTGGTTTGTGGAATATGGGAACAGCAGCAAAATGGGGAAGTGCAATACATACAGTATTCAGTATATTAAAAAAGGAAACAATCATGGAGCGGCAAAAGAAAATGATCCACACACCTATATAATAGATTCACCATTAAAATTATCATGAACGACAACAAATACTTGATAACTTTACCTTGCAAACATTTGACCGACTCTTCGAAGACGCCAAAGTCGAAGCATATTGAAGTAGCCATATGGTTTGAGGGAATCAGGCAACATTCGCCGAGCAATTTCAGAAGGGAATGTGGATACAACATCAAAAAAGAACCACGTTTTAATATACCTCTTAGCAATCTGTCGACGATCATCAATAAGAAGGAAACTCAATTTATCCAGATAGGCAACAAAGAAGGTTAAGACGATGTCAATTGCAAAAAATCCGTTGACAACATTATCGATGATTGACAAAGCACGTGCCGGCGAATCTAGAAATCCAAACTCAAATGGAGAAACCCATGCCGTGTAAAACACAAGAACTACTAGAAATCCCTGCCAAATCCTGCAATTCACCTAAGTAACTCCATGTTACGGTTCATAACCCTGATTAGAAACAATCAAATAACAATTACAGCATAGGAAAAGGAGAAAACCTGTAACGATGATGTAAGGGGTTGATAGTAAAGGGACGAAGCTTGACGTTCCGAGTAGACTGAGCACCGAGGGAAGGGAGAATACTGCTGCGGATGCTGTGGACGGAAGACATACGCTCATCTCTCGAAATAGAATCAAATTCATCGGAATCATCTGCGACGCCTCCACCGCTTCCTCCTCCAAATCTTGCTCCCCCAACCCATGATCCTTTCAAGATCGTCATTTTCTTCTGCCTCAACAATCAAAACCCTAAATTCATGATTCTCTTTGATTTTATTTCGTTTCATTCTCCACATATTACACGAATCTTTTCTGATGATCATCCATCTCTCTCGCAACCCTTTTCTCCCTCCCCCTCGGTAACCGTTGAAACCCACTCCCTTTTGCTTTATGTGATTTACATTTTGAACACCAAACTTCCCTCAATTCCACTTTCCACCCCATATCTACAAACCATATTCTTTTAGGGTGCGTTTGGTTTGCAGGAATGTTTCTGAGGGATTTGGATTCCCAGGAGGGATTTGGATTGGATTGGATTGGATTTAAAATCCATTCATGTGTTTGGTTTGCAGGATTTGGATTTTTTTAACAGCATATGAAGTACAAATCGAAACATTAATCAGAACAACATTAATCAGAACAGCATATGAAGTACAAATCGTCACAAAATATGCAGAAATCGAAGTACAAATCGGAACATTAATCGTATTGTTAAGTAGAAATTACCTGGAGGATGCGAATGGAGGATGAAAATGGAGGCTGGAGGAGATGGTCAGCGACGGCGACGGAGACGACGGTGGGAGAAAGCCACGGCGATGGAGACGACCTCGAGGGAAAGCGACGGCGACGACCTCGGGGCGATGCGACGGCGACAGAGACGACCTCGGGGGGAAGCGACGGCGACGGAGACGACCTCGGGGGGAAGCGACGGCGACAGAGACGACCGGGGGGGGGAAGCGACGGCGACGGAGACGACCGGGAGAGAGCGACGGAGGTGAGCGATGCGATGGAGGAGAAGATGGAGACGGGTAGGTTAGGGCAAAAAGGAATGGATTCTAAAATCCYATGTATATGGGAAGGATTCTTAAATCCATTGTTCATGGGATTTCAAAGGAAGCGACGGATTTCAATTTCTCACAATCCAGCAAACCAAACACTGGATWGGAATGGATTTCAAATCCAAATCCCCCCAATTCCATTCCAATCCCGCAAACCAAATGCACCCTTAGTTTAAGTTCGGGGTTCTACATTCTTCTAAAAACCAGTTGTTGCAGAAAGATTTCTTCTTGATTCAGTTTCAAAACCAAAATCCAATCAACTTTTTTACTTTACAAGCTTAAACATATAATTGTATTTTCACGGTAATTCAAGCAATGGCACCATTTGACACATAAAATATGCATCTGCAAGTCCAAGTTTTAAATTACTGTATCTTTCATAGTACACAACACAATAAATACAGGTGTAACTTTTCCTATACCATAGCCGACCACACCCTTTCATGAAGATATTTTGAGCATTACTTTATGTTAGAAATTCTGGTTTTCGATTGCTTGGATTCCACTTAAAGTTGTGTATCACTTTCAGATTGAAGTATTTCGATGGTACAATCGAAATTTCAATCGGATAAAATTTAGTGGTTTTCCCGAATAGAGGGTTTTTCGTGTTATGAAATCTGTGTGTCGAAAATCAAATGATCAAATCGTAGCTTTTGCCTCAAACGGTCGAAAACTGCCATACGGCAGTTAAAAAAACCGGGTTTTTTAAAACAGAGTCAAAACCGGGTTTAAAATTTCAAACTCAAATTTTTGAAGCATTTTTCACAAAAGCAATATTTACCCGAAGCATTTTTCAAATTTGGCTGGCAGCTCGACCCCAGCCAGGGGCTCTGTCCCTTAGACCATGCCAGGGGTTGCCGCCCCTTGGTCCCTGCCTTAGGGGCTTCGCCCCTAAATCAAAATAAACTCAAATAAGTGTGCACTCTGCATCTTCCTTACTTGTTCAATATTTATCATAATTACATTGGTCAACAAATTAATCTCATTACACTTAAATGATATTAGTGATACAAATCACTAACACTTTATCATATACAGGGAAATCTATCAAGTTTTGTCGTTTATCGCCATAGTTATTTTTTTTTTTTTTGCTATGTATTACCTTCGGTCCGTGTTTAATCCATCATATTTTATCAATGGTCTGATGTACAATCTCCTATGATCCAACCAATTGTATTACCCCTATTTCATTCTAGCATAACGATTATTTAGCATATAAAGTCTCGTATCGAAGTTTTACATCATCTAGCATACGACTTGAAGGTTGACATGGTATACTTTAATATAGCAAACTCCATTAATAGTAAATGATTTTCCTGATATCTCACAAAGTCAATATACATGCTTATTGGCCGTTGCATATTCTCTAACGTCCGAACTTTGACCCAGAGGCCTCACTGGCCCCCCTCAGGTTTATAAACGATCATATCTCTTGCAGAAAATTCTCTAATACGAGATCTAAAAAGACATTTGTATCACAGACAATTGTCACAACACCCCCGGGACGGACCCATAAATTTTTTCGAACGGTGACACCATTTGAATATAAGAAACAAATATAGGGAAAAAATTTCAAACAGTGGTACCATTTGACTAAAAAATGACATTAATAAGATTCAAACTCAAATAAAAACTTTCCAAATCAACTCTATCAAAGAGAACGTGTTCTCATTGTAGTTTCAAAATACATACGGTGGCACACAACAAATTAATACGATTGCACCTTTCACGAACCTAAATTTTTTCTTCTTCGACGGAAAAAAATAATACGGTGGCATGTGCCACCATTGGCACCACTATAGGTCCGTCCAGCGAAACATCTGATGGTTTTATCGATTTGTCTATAGTTATCCTATTTCCATATTGGGAATTTTCACCGGGAGATGAGTGGATTAAAAACTACTCCGACGCTTTTTTATATGTTGAATAATGTTCATTTTTGTGATTAATCATTAATATGATTGACGAAGGTATTAATGCATCTTATTATTTCTCAGGTGAATATTTTTTTTGAAGTATATAATATTTATATACGGCAAATGCAACAAATAAACTCACACACCCTCCTCACCTTTGGTGAGGTTTGAACCCTTGACCTCCTAGGAAGCCAAGGACTACGACCCGCTAGGCCGAAGGCCCTTTGGTTTCTCAGGTGAATCTTGCCATGATAACTTTTTGTCTCGTCTTGTCAAGGCCCTAAAGCTCAAGACCGGTTGCAACAAGTTATAAAAGGCCGGATACATGTTAATAAAAGCTTGATAGGTTATAGCCAATTACATTTTTATGAAGTCGGATTGGTTACGTAACCAATTACCATAACTCATCTTTGTTACCTTTTTCGTCTTATTCATATGGTATGTCTTTTAGGACAACTAGTGTCTGACACCGTATGTTGCACGGTGACAAAAAAATTTTGTTAGAAAATATTAACTTAAGATAAAACACAATTTGTCAATCAACAACTACTGAAATAAAATGTAAAACAATGAACGTACTAAGAGGCAGTTTACCAAACACTTACTCGGTAAGCGCTTACCGGTAAATTTAACACTACCATTTACTTACCGGATAAGATTTTAGTCCACCAAAATGGTATTGTATGCAACAATTTACCCGGTAAGCGCTTACCGTGGTAAGAGTCGTCGCTCTCACTTACCGGGTAAGACTTTTGGTCCTTGTCTCGCTCTTACCGGGTAATTTTTTATCCTTACTATATTCATCCGGTAAGGTAAAATGACTTGGTAAGCGCTTGGTAAACGGCCCCTAAGAGTGTTTTAAAAGTAAATATTTTTTATTGATCAACATTATATACTTTTTCGAACCAAAAAGACCACAAATCTTTTGCAAGTTTAATTTTGTTCTTATCATTTATTGTTCACAACGTTTACATATATTTGCTAGAATTACCATAATTCTTAAACCTCCGGAGTACTTTTGACTGGTGGAGTTTAATTGGGTTAAAAAATTTAGAATTGTCATATGTTTTTTTTACTTTTGAGAAAAATATATATTTAGAAGTTGAATTTGTACAACAATGGTTAATCGCAAGTGCATACACATGATTAAGCATTATGACGGGTGCATGCAAAACTAATCCACGATACATAGAAATTTATAATTAACAACCATATCAAATTTAGTTAATTAAATAAAAAATGTGATATACATAAAATTGTTTATAGCATAGACCAAAATATACCAAGCAATGTTATGAACAGGCACACTTGGAGAGCGCAGTACAACGGAGAGTTGTATGCTGTGTTCGGGAAGGATGAATCGCTCCCGAAAAGGAATCCCCTTCCTTGCGGTTAAGGTAACGACTTTGAGCATGGCCAGCTCCCATAGTGTGACGGGCAATGTGTACAAGGCCCGTTCCATTTATGTCTCTTAAAAATGTCAATTTAAGTTAAGTATTGAGGCGAGTTTGTTTGGGGAGGGGGAGGAATGTTTTTAAAAAAATTATGGTAAACCATAATGTACCTCGGTTCTTACATATGTTTATCAGCATTAAGTATGGTTAGTTGTTCAAGCAAGCGTGACCCAAAAGACAACAATATACGACTATTATATGTGAAGAGACATGTGTAATATGTATTGATAATTGGTTATAGGATAATGTGAAATGTTAATAAATGTAATGGCATGCATGTAAATACATGTTTTAGGAGGTGTAAGCCATCAAAAGTCTTGACTCTTGTTCGGTTATCAATACAAACATGGTTCCAATAGTAGTTGGTGATAATTGAGTGTAAATTACAACCGATATATTCTCATTATCTACCTTAATGCCCGTTGTAGACATGATTGATAAAAAAAGATTAAAAGATAAATTTTATACATGTTTAGACTAAAAGATAGTCTGATGTCTATTCGACATAGGAGGACGTACCATGCATCCATCAAGTAGAATTGGCTTCTATTGTTGTATGGGTCCAAAGTGGGCTTCTGGAACTACTTACCAGTTGTTGTCTGATATTATTTCACTACTTCTTTCGTTGCAACTTTTTTCTAGGTAAAAAACTCAAAAATAGGAGCAAACATATGTATTATAATAAAACGAGCTCAAACTATAAGTATTGATGAGACTGCATACTTTTTTGGCGAGCTAAGTTAAATTGATACCATTTAGATATCTACTGATATGTACAATGTTGTTCATCTACTTGTAGATGAAGGAAAAAGTAACATCCTTAGCAAATATAAGTGAGAGTTTCCTTTCCATTCGTAATACTCTTCTTATAAAAATAATATAGAGTAAGATTAAGAATTGAAAATATTAGAAAATAATTTTCAAACCCAATACTAAAGAAGGAAAAAAATCCTAATAAACTGATCAACATCGATATCTTGAAAATCATATGAAAAATTATCGATCTGAAAAAAAATCATTATCCATCTTTCTTGATATACTCTTCTAGCATCAATGCATAAATATTCTAGCATAACGTTTATTAAGTTCATGGATTAACAAAACAAAAAGATACTTATCTTTTTATATTCTACACATGCTTAAAAAATGTTATCTTATTTCATCAATGATTCATATGTCACTTTATCCACTCACAAAAAAAAGATTCATATGCTTGCATAATTCGAATTTTCATCTCAAGACATGCCTTTTTGAATCCAATCGTAGATGTTATGCCAGTAATACCCCTGTTCTTTTTTCTTTTAGCATCTGTTTGATTTAGAATATATCGGTCTTGTTACTTTTATTAGAATCCAATCTCGATGAAGGATTTTCTATTCATAGAATATCGAAAAAGAATATTAGGTCTAAGTAAGGTATACGAAGGAAATCCTATTTTACGTTTTTGACAATGTCTACAATGAAACTTAGTATTAGCAAAGATATTAGTTTTTCAAACTTTATCTTGTGCACAAACACCGCACAATACCGACGTATATTAGATTTGAATGGGGTTGGGTAACGTTGGAGTTTTTAAAATATCTCCAATTAAAAGACGAAATACTATACTTACATCAGCAAAAACCATATCATATTTGTCTTCTTGAATGGTGTCTTAAATCAACAAAAACACAAAGCATCTCTACAAAAACTGAATATAGAGGAAGAATTGAGAAATTATTATGTTTAAACAAACGTTACCTTATTTCATCAAGGATTCATATGTCACTTTATTCACACACAAAAAAATATTCATATGTCTGCATAATTTCAACTTTAGTGTGAATGTCTCCGACTAAAAGACGAAATATTATACTTACATAAATAAAAACCCATACTATGATTTGTCTTATTGAATGACGTCTCAAATCAACAAAAATGCAAATCGCCTCCACAAAATTATAACTTAATAGAGAGGAGGAATTGAGAGATTAATAGAGAGATTATTATAGAGGTGTACCATGAAAAGAAGATGAAAAATTATAACCGAATAGAGAAAATTAATGAACGTTAAAAGAACAATTGTTAGAGAGAACATGAGTAGGTTGAAGTAACCTGATGACAGGGTCTTAAATGTGAATATCAAAAATCAAAAATCAAAAATAAATATTGAGGTGAGAGAAGCTTGAGAAAAGGGAAAAATTATAAAATACTTTCTAGTTTTGAGAAGAAGCTACGTCATTGCATATGGTTTCTTCTTTAATAGATATATGTATTTTATCTAGAGTTGCTCATGGGAGGAACGATCCGTTAGACCGGCCCATCCGGCCCGCTAGAAATACATTATCAAGAAAATGGACGGGTTCGAGTTTGTTCGTTAAAATTAACGGGCGGACATGAACAATGTAAAAATAAATATGGACAGGCTTTGCCTAGCCTGTTTATATTTTATAATCAATTTTTTTACCATTAATTAAAATTATACTTGTGTATTTTAAAATTAAATTATTAAAGTTATAGGATGAGACTCTTTGATTATACTTGTTGAGATCCATTTGTCACTTTAGTTGCTTAAAATTTTAATTGCGTCGGTGTTTTTTCTTTAATTTTTGGTTTCACATTTGTTAATTAATTGTTAGTGATCAAGTTTATGAATTTATAAGAGTTACACTTTTTAGGCCCGTAAACCCATGGGCAAGCCCAACCCGTTTACAGGACGGACAATGACAAGTTTTCAAGCCTACCAAAAAGGGCTTGGGTTTACAATATTAGACCTGTTGGATAAAGAAAACAAGTTAGGCCCAGTCCAGACCCACAAATAATCACCTCTAATTTTGTCGTTTTACTTGAGCATAAATTGAGAATTAAACGCTCTTAAGACAACTAAGGACCAATAAGGATCAAGGCTAATCAGTTAACGAGTTTGTCCACCTCTACCACTATTCTTATACATCATTATATAGAGAATTAACTATGTCATGTCGAAGCTAGTCCCGTCATACCGATTCAAAAAACTAGGGTGTTAATTTTGTACCAATACAAATTAACTAATTCTCATATCAATCATACCAATTAAATTGGTAGCAATTAGATTGATACCAATTTAATTATTTGGCAGTATCATACGAACTATTTAAATTTAGTTGATACATGGTATTAGAAGTTGTGTACCGCAGTAATAACGTTTGTATTAAATCACTAATAAAGGCTTGTATAATATGAAAGTTATTCGAATGTTTGTATAGATAGAGATGAGTTATACAACACGTGTCTACATGTTATTTGAATGTTCGATGGAGTTACTGGATCTAGATCTGGTTTACAAAGATGTCGATATAAATCATGTGTAACTTCAAACTTTACGAGGTTAATACAAAATCGTATTATATACCTAACGAAAAAATTGGTACCGAATACAATTGATTGACACATAATATCTATACTATATTATAAAGTATTTAACAAAAACTCTTAAAAACCATTTTTTATACATGAAATATTGTTTATTGATGCATATTACTTAAAATTCAAGATTACAAGTAAATTGTGCATAAGTACAACTTATTAAAGCTCTATGTTTGAATTCGTGTAACTAACTGCGGATAAACATAATCAAATAGAGGATAAACATCACATTTTAAAATATAAAAAATCTAAATTCTCGTATCGACGAATTAGAAATGCCAATTAAGCAATTCCCCCCATCCCGATAAAGGGAATCCCCCCCCCCCCCCTATCGGTTGACTAAGAAATATAATTAGAATAATTATTGAATTCTAACAAAATACTTTATTAGTAATTTTATAAAAAAGGGCAAATTGCATGAAAAAGTAACGTACTTTAACTTGATTCCTATTTTGGGTAACGTACTTTCAAAATTTTCATTTTGGTACCTATTGATAGAGCAAATTGCATGAAAAAGTAACATACTTTAACTTGATTCCTATTTTGGGTAACGTACTTTCAAAATTTTTATTTTGGTACCCAAAATGTAAAATTTTAAACATTTAAGTACTCGGGTAACTGGTTGAATAACCGATTATCATGCTGATATGGCGAGTGATGTGGTATCAAACTCAGTATTATTTGCTGACGTGGTCAGTGACATGGATTTTTTAAAATCTAAAATTAGTCTTTCCGGGTTACCCGGGTACTTAAATGTTTACAACTTAAATCTTAGATACCAAAATAAAAGTTTTGAAAGTACATTACCCAAAATAGGAATCAAGTTAAAATACGTTACTTTTTCATGCAATTTGCCCTATAAAAAAAATATTATTAAAACTAAATTAAGTTACTTCAATTAAATTATAATAAAAGTTTTGAATTAAAAAAAATACACAAATAAAAACTTTTAAATAGTTAATTTAATACTAATATTAATATATTATTTTACAAATTTTATATAATATTTTTAAATTTATATTTTGTTCAAAAATAAAAACATTATCGCTTTTTTAAAACCACATAAAATTATATTATATCGACATAAATAAAAAACAAAACAAAACATTGAAATCAAAATATGTCTCGATGCATTGCATAAGTACCCTTCTAATAAAATTAAATGTACCAATTATAATTAGTTGATAGATACTATATGAAAAAAAAAAAAAGAACTTGATACAATACCATTAATCAACCAAAACAGCCCTTTATGAGCGTGGCTTGGTTGACAAAAGTAAAAAAGATGACGAATATTAAACAAAGATGGTCAAAATCTGAAATGATTTGCTGATAACAATAGATTTGTTAAAAAAACAGTGATTCCATTAGGTTTTTGGAAGCAAAATGCAAAAGTAGAGGCTGAATCATGAAGATGCAATGCCATCACACGTACATTCCTTCCTTCACCTCTACATCCACAATGAACACAATATGCAAAAAAAACCCCTTTCATGTTCTCAATCAAATAAGATGCTAAAATTCATCAAAACCCTACAAGTTTTTTCAATCTCTCCCTCCCAACACAAAGAAACCATGACACCATACATATTCTTTTACTCAAAAGTATCATCATCATCATCTGGAAGAGGCTGGCTTGCTGCTTGAAGAAGCTCTGCCTCATGCCTACACACACACACACACACATGTAAGCTTAGATTCAACGCTCTTCACCATTATTTTTCTCATCATATGTCTAGAGCGTAAAAGGATACAAATTATATGATCCAATTATAACCAACCAATCAAACTTGATTACCCACCCGATTGTAATTTGATCCCCAATCTCGATATCCAAATTCAATTACCAACCAAGTATCAAGAATGAAAGATTTATTTTACATAATATTCATATTTGGTATTTTGGTATACGAGACTTGTTTTGTTATTGGTTAAAATTCAGCATCCAATGGATAACTGGATTGGCTGTGAACCGATGAACTCGGTGAACACCCCTACTATATGGTGAAGTTTACTTCATAAGCATATAATTGTATATATGACCGCACAAAATGAAAAGAGAAAAACGATATATAAACAAACTAAAACTTACTGTTGTTGAGCAGCCATGTCAATTTGCACTTCTGGAGGAGCAAGTGCAGGAGACTCCACAAAATGCAAATTAGCATCCCTAACCACCCAAATCACATGATACTTTCAGATTCTGAATTCACCGATTAAAAATCATAGATGCCAAAGATCAAAAAGATATGTTACCCGGCAAGTTTCCTAGCAAGATAGAGGAAGGGCTTCTCAAAATTGTAATTACTCTTGGCAGATATTTCATAATACTGTAGGTTCTTCTTTCTGTGGAAAGTCACTTGCTTTGCCTTCACTTGACGGTTCTTCACATCAACCTTGTTACCACAAAGAACGATCGGGATGTTCTCACAGACCCTACAGACAACCACCCATAAATGAAATTTTAAATTATATACAAACTGGAAACCATTTTCTAAGGTCTTCTCCAACCAAACAGTATAACACAAAAACATTGTGTTTTGCATGTAACTGAACAATATAATAACACAAGATTTTGGTGTTGATGAATAGTGAACCGCCATATTTGGTGAGATCTATTCACCGAACTGTAATTTGCTTGTGGAATTTGTTTTTAAGTAATATTTTTTATCGTATTTGTATGTCAGTGAAAATTTTAGTGTGGTTGGAATGAAAGGGTAAGATGATGCTAATTTTAGTTAAAGTTGGTCTATAATACAAACCTGCAAAGATCACGATGCCATGTTGGAACATTTTTGTACGTCAACCTTGCAGTTACATCAAACATGATGATTGCACATTGACCATGGATGCTGCAAATGACACAACAGAGATGGAGCACGGTTAAGAATCTTCCCAAGATGTAAACAACAATTGCAACACCAATTACATGATAATATATGAAACCCTTTTGAATCTCTTTCTAAAAGAGCTTTTATTACATGTTTTGATCTAGCTGATATGAGACTCTTAACACATTACATCCAATGGTATCATAGCTAACAAGAAAAGGCTCAGTATCCATAAAATACATGTGAAAGTTACAGAAATAGCAGCCCAGGTGCACCAAGGCTGCTCAACATTTCACATAGAAGCTTTAATCTTGAACCAACAACAATGAAAATTACAAAGGAGCAACTTCATGCTAAAAAGCACTTACTAATATCCATCTCGAAGACCACCAAATTTCTCCTGACCAGCTGTATCCCAGCAGTAAAATCGGATCTTTCCACAGTTGGTGAAGAAATCCAGGGGATGTACTTCCACACCAATGGTTGCTAATTACAATCAAAGACATAACCACCATCATTATCAACCTCGATTAAACTAAAAATCATGCAAAAACGATTTATTACAAGTCCTTACGTTCGTATTTCTTCTCAAATTCTCCAGTCAAATGTCTCTTTACGAATGTAGTTTTTCCTAAACAAGCCAAACATCAAACACAAATTCAGGGCCAAAACAGTCTCCAAATCGGGATAACAAAAGATAAATGAAAGTTTGTTGCATTTAGATAATCAAACTAAGGCGTATGAACCCTAAATGAAACTAAAATGCAAACACACATACGCACAGATACAAGGGGCAAAAGCATCCTGTATCAAATACTCTTTAATAGTTTACGACGTATAACACTTTTGGCCAATCAGATATCATAGCGAAAAATAAGGTTAAACGAATTAATAAAATGAAATGATACGAACAAGTTCCACACAGAACCAAATGACAAAGAAACGAAAGAAATCATAGACTTGCCAGTGCCACCATCGCCAACAATTACAAGCTTGAAACTAGGGTAATCAACAGTTTGCTGATTCGGCAAAGCCTGAAACAAAAAATCTCACAAAATTAGAACAGTAACACATACATGTTAGGCATCAACCCAAGGTATTTCATTGAAAAAAAGGAAATCCACAAAAATCAAACCAAACCCAGAGAAATCAAAACATGAATCCCAGGTATATCATGAAAAATATCTCCAACCCACGTATAGAACATGAATCGGAGGCTTTTCATCGAAAATAATGCAAAGCCGAATAAAGATCGATTGAAGGAAAAGAAGAATGAAGATCCGAGAGAGAACGAGACATACCATTATGAAAGCTGTGAGCGGCGAGATGATGAAGGCGGAGTTAAGTGTAGTTTGTGAGGGTTTATATATTTCACCATTTTTCTTCTCTCAAGTTAGCTTTAACCTGACGCGTTATTGTCCACCGTCGGATCAGTTTTGTTTGTTACTAGTCGTTGATTGTGTGGCACGTCATCTAGAAGACAATTTTTGAATTTTGAATGCCCACGCGGTAGTCTGCTCCGTTTCAAACTTTAGATACCGTTCAAAAAGGATATTTACACCTTGCACCCTTCACTTTCACCAAATTTCATTATAAACGATTGGCGTGTTCATTGGTTGACATCAATCGGATGTGAGAGGGACTGAACTGATCCAATCATCAACTGGATTTAATTTTGTTAACTGATCCGATCCGATTAATATTAGACAACCTATTAAATTCAATCCAATGGATTGGATTATTTTGGTTTCATCCATTGGATATTCTTATTGATATCTTTATTGGATATTCATCGGATACCCAGTGGATGATCCTATGGAATTGGACTCATCCAGTATGTTAATTCAATTCAATATTTCAATGATGAAATAAACTAATTAATCACTTTTGTGATCCAACGTCATCTGTACGTACAAGGTCTGCTACTGCTAACGAATGCATGTATGCCACATTTTTTAGCAAAATTGAACTGACTAAGGTATTTGAAGCCTCATCTGATCCGGACCGGATAATAGCCATGCAAGAATAACTCAACCAGTTCGAAAGCCTAAAAGTTTGGAGATTAGTACCTCGTCCTAAAGATAGAACTATTATTGGTACAAAATGGGTGTTCAAAAACAAGAAAGATGAAGACGGAGTTGTTGTTAGAACTAAAGCTCGGATTATGATGAAACCTTCACTTTGGTTGTAACAACAAGAGGGCATGGATTATGATGAAACCTTCACTCCGGTAGCAAGAATAGAGGCAATCAGAATGTTTTTGGCGTATGTTGCACACAAGAATTTCATTGTGTATCATATGGACGTTAAAACAGCTATTCTGTATGGACTTCTGAAAGAAGAAGTCTATGTCTCACAACTGGAAGGTTTTGTTGACGATTCAAACCATGGCCATATACATCATTAACAGAGCTCTATATGGTCTGAAACAAGCCCTGAGAATCTGGTATGATATTCTATCAGAATTTTTGGTAAAATCAGGTTTCTCGAAAGGTAAAATCGACACAACTCTGTTCATAAAGAAAAAAAATCTTGATATTATTTTGATACAAATTTATGTAGACGATATAATATTTGGATCTACAAATCCCAAATATTGTAAGAACTTTTCTGCCCTAATGGTGTCAAGATTCAAAATGAACATGATAGATGAGATGAATTTTTTCTTAGGCTTACAAGTAAAACAACTTTCCTCGGGTATTCTTATAAGTCAGTCAAAATATATTTATGATATTTTGAGGAAGTTTAAAATAGAAAATTGTCATCTATTAAAACACCTATGGCTCCGGGTTCAAAAGTTCATGCTGATCCTTCGGGAAAAACTGTTGATCAAAAGACATATCGTGGGATGATAGGTTCTTTAATGTATTTGACTTTTTGTAAGCTAAATATAATGTTTTCAACACATCTTTGTTCCAGATATCAGGCCAATCCTGAATAATTCTATTTAAGTGTTGTAAAACGAATCTTTCGTTACTTAAAAAAATACTACTGACCTTGGGCTTTGATATCCAAAAGACACTGGCTTTGAACTAACGGCATATTCAGATGCAGATCATGATGGTTGTATGCTTGACACGAAAAGCACTTCAGGTCACATACAGTTTCTGGGAGACAAATTAGTCAGTTGCGCTTCGAAGAAGCAGGACTATGTGTCCACATCTACAATTGAAGCAGAGTATGTTGCTGCTGCTAGTTGTTGTTCTTAAGTTATATGGATACGCACCCAACTCAAGACTATAGTTGTCATACAATAAGATTTCGATCTATTGTGACTCGAATAGCGCAATTGCTATATCCTGCAATCTTGTGCAACATACAAAGACCAAACATATCGATACCCGGTATCACTTTATTAAAGATCACGTTGAAAAAGGTACAATTAAACTGTATTTTGTTAGTACAAAATTTCAATTAGTTGACTTGTTTAGAAAAGCTTTAGATGAAAAACGCTTTAACTTTCTGATATTCAAGTTAGGCATGTTAAATTTCAAAATCTGAATTTTTGATAAAGTCTGTTCAATAAGTTGACAATTTTAAAATTTTCAGTCAATTTTATTTTCTGATAAATTTTTAATTTTCATCAATATTGAACTTAGTTTATTTTTAATTCCGTCTTTTTCAAATTTATGTACTTTCAAAGTTCATTTCAGTGTATTTGTTTCTTCTGATCTAAAGCTTTTAATGTGAATTACTGATTTTAGGGGGAATACTATTTTGTGTGATCATTATCTAAGGGGGGGGGGGGTAAGTTTTACTTGATTTGTGTGAGATTAAAGGATACTTAATTGATAAATATGTGTGTTTCTGTGTTTTACAAGTTTTCGAAGACTTGGGAGATATTTTGAAGATGATAAATATTGCCTAAAGCATGGGCGATATTCGTTTATATCGCTTAAGGCATGAGCGATTTCCTAGGAAATCGGCCAAGGCTTGACGATATCCGCATAGGTCCCACTAGTACATAGGATCTATATGTACAGAATTTACATATGAAAAATTCCAAAAGAATATCCCTGCACTATCACATGTATAGCAACATGTATCTTCAAAATATAAGGCATCAGATTGATCTTCATAAAGCAGATAACACATAAGGAAAATAATTATATTTTCCTCTTTTCCTTATTATCTCAAGACCCCGCAATTCCTGCAATACACATTTTCAAAATACAAAAATGAGGGTTAGACCGTACGGTCTAGTGAGAAATCTCTTCTTTGCAAATGCAAGGTGAAGATCACCAAAACCTGATAAAACATCTTTTATATAAAGATAATATATTTTAGCAACAACATTCGAAATCTGTTTATTAGCTAAAATATATGAATCAACATATTACTTCATATACAACACAAAAGCAATTTCTCGGAACCCAAAATCCTTTCATATAATTGACATAGAACTCTTTTGGCTCAATGGTCCAGAGCTCCTCTACCCTTGCTAACCAGATTCTTTGGCTCTATTGAGCAAAGCCTCTGCACTCAAATGAACCAACATTCAACCAATAACCCTCTGGACCAACAGAGTCTCTGGTCCATAAAGGACTTACCTTAACTTAAAAGATAGATAAACTAGAATCAGAGCTCCTCTGACTCTTTATTTATTTATAAAAATATTTGAAGAAAATATTTGATTTTAAAAGACAGAGCTCCGATACAGAGACCAGATACAGAGCTTCTGTATAATACATACAAAGCTTCTGGTTCATAAAAATTCCAAAACATTTTAAAGTCTTTCCATATGACCAGAGGTCCTCCGGTCCTTCTAAAAGACCAACCAGAGCCCCTCTGCATCATTCTCACATATGTTTAAACTTGATAGAAATCATTTACAATTAATGCCTCTTGTTATAAATCATTTTTCCATTCTCAATAACATCAAAGTTATTATTTCTAAAGAGAACAATACCTCTGAATCATCAAGCTACAAAGAAATGTTGATTTACAATTATTGTATCTAATAGTGATAATAACAAGGGTTATAATATTACCCACACCTGTAATTGCCACTCTCATATCCATAAATACACCTCTCCTTGATATGTCACCCTTATTTCTTCTTTAAAATAGGGTTCCTTGCCAGAACAGACTTACGTCACTACGTCTGGAAGTACCCACTACCCAGTTCCAAGCCAGAACAGACAAATGTCACCACGTCTGAGAGAACTATTTAAAACAAAATTTCATTCCAGAACAGACTTATGTCACCATGTCTGGAATAAACATTTCAAAGCAGAGTTTCAAACCAGAACAGATGTAACAACCCACTATGCTATTTATGATATAAATCACAATAAACACTCATATTAAAATATAATTGTCGTAGTATAACCCAAAATTCTGTGTTTACATAACAAGAGAAAATATGGATTAACAAAAACTTTGTCAGTTACAGCACAAACATCTAAATAACATTTCATTACATTTTTCCCTTGCATTTGTCTTGTGATGATAGATGACCTGCAAACAAATTAGTCCAATATTGAGCGTTAGACCAAAATATCTAGTGAGTGTATCTTTCTCATATAAACAATATATATTTCAAAATCCAAGATTATAACAAACTTGGATCTTAATATATCATTTCATCACTCATCTATCGTGGTTACACCGTCATTTCATCTATCGCGGTTACACCGCCAGTTCATCTATAAAGTTTTCCAAACATTAAAAATTTTCTCTGAACAACTCTTTAGTCAAATAAGATATAAAAATTGCCAACACTTTATCCGGATAATTAAGAATTTGGTCAACTCTGTTTAGCCGGATAAGGAATCCGGACGACCTTGTAGCCGGATGGAAACGTATCCGGATGGCACAATACCCAGACTAAGACGTATGCGGACGACATTATAATCGGATGGGTACGTATCCGAACGGCATTATAACCGAACTAAGACGTATCCAGACGGTATTATAACCGGAATAAGACGTATCCAGATGGCACTATAGCCGGACTAGGATGTTTCCGGACGGCGTTATAGCCGGACTAGGACGTTCCCGGACGACATTATAGCCGGACTAGGATGTTTCCGGACGGCGCCTATAACGGGACTAGGACGTATCTGGACGGTGCTATAACCGGACTAGGAACGTATCCGGATGACGCTATAACCGGACTAGGAATGTATCCAAGGAATCATGTAGCAATATAGCAACTATAAACCAAAGATAAAACATATGTATAAGATGTTTGAAACACTCACCTTTGATTTGAAGACTAGCTTCTAATTTTTTTCCTGATCTTCCAAAGAAGTAAAGATGTGCTCCTCAAAACAGTCAAAAACCTTCCCCCTTCACTTGTACTTGCTATAAATAGCAAGTACATCGCCG